AACTGCTGAACTTCACCAAGACAATCATAATGCTCTGTATCTCTTATTCACTTGTGAGAAAGGACATAGGAAAATGGAATTGCCTACTTTGAATATACATCTGTTTCCCAGAGCTTAGATTTGTTGGTAGAATGGACTGAAATAAGAACTTCAGGGCAGGCTTTCCTCGTTGACTTGGCATGTTATCAGACTTTATCACCCAAACTTCAATTTCTCATCTCTTAGAGACACTATCGACATAAACAAGAAGACATTGTCTGTGTTATAAGGCATATACATGCTCAGCTGAAATCTATCTTGCAGAGACAAATGATACACATATCTCCCTGTTTTTTAAACATGAACACTCCTGGGAGTTAGGATTCTGTTAGGAGCCTACAAACCAGTTTTTGCTACCAGGAATGACTACTACAAGGAATGACTATTTCATCCTAAATTGGTGGCTCTCCACCATTACCATCACCAAGTTATCTGATTCTGTGCTATGAACACAAAATGGCATAATTCTGTAAAATCACAGAATTTAAGACTTAAGTTGATGACTTTCTAAAGCTCTGTGAAACTTCAAGCAGGATGCTTAGCCCTTTCTGCCTTTCAAATTCACCACCATCATTGTTACAACAGCCTGCAAGTCATATTTTGACTTGAATTAAGCAGAATTGATCTGACCTATTTTAGAGAAAATAGTCTTTCAGCATTCTGTCATCATGTGATACCAGATCAGTATTCTGTCTTTAGCACAATCATCCCAAGAAGTGGGAAGGAAGTTCAAGATGAACTGTTGCTAACTTGGTTGAAACTCCCACACACATACTGCTGAATTGACTGTGCTGGTATTAAGACAGCTCTTATTTGTAGAGTAACAGTATATAAGGACCCCAGGGACTCACCTGTGATAGGTTCTGCATTTTTGTTTTTCGATATTTCTGTATTTCTGTTCTGTATTTCTACATTTTTGTATTTCTGTTTCTGCGGCCTGTCTTGCCAACTGCCCATGCCCACTCTGAAAGATGTGAGGCACTGAACCAGCCTTTTAAAATGCCATCGTGTACACTCAGGCCAAGATGTCTGATGGGCGAGGTCTCCAGCCGGGAAGGAGCTTTGTCAGAAAGTCAGAAGCAGAACTGAGCCCGACGTTTACTTCCAAAGTGGAACTGGCAACTCTCTTGCTGCCTGCCAGCTCCACTCAGCACTCCACAAGTGTTTCCGGCATTTTCTACAGGAAATAGCTTTGATGACTGATTGGAACTGCCTTCCCCACCTGGCAAAGCAGCTTCAGGGACCTGGAGCCTCTGGGAATTATGCTTCAAGCCTTACCTTCAGCTCCTCGACAGCACAGTTTTGTCTGCTAACATGCTACAGCCTCCACTGGCCACTAGTGAGACATCCTCATTCCTATACACTGCATTTCCAGCACCACTTTCCTTTCACCTGGACTTTAACTTCAGAAAAGAATGTTATGTTCAAAGGGAGTCTGAAATCTCCTCCTGAAAAATAATTCTTGGTGGTAGGCCCCTTTATCCACAAGAAAATGTTTTGACTTCAGAGGGACAAACAATGACTGTGGGTTCAGCACATTAAACAAGATGATAAAGTTCTGAAATCATTCTACTTGGCTTGCTTGGAAAACTGATGATTATACTGAGAAGTTTCTAACCTAAGAACAAAAGCAAATCATTGATAAAACATACCTAGATCTCACCTTTAACCAGTATTTTCTTCCAGGCTCAAACACCTTAAAAGTCCTGCGGATGCTCTTGACTTAAAACGATTTACACTCTTGAACTTTATCTCATCTTAATATATTCTCCCTAAATAGATTCAAGTATTATAAACTGAGTGAGAGGAAAAAATTGTAAATATATAGTAATTGCAATTTCTCCAAGAATTTTATGTCTAATATAGTTTTTTCCGTGATCAGGTTTTGACCAGCAACAATTTAAAAGATTTTTTTCCCCTTTGGGTATTTTACTTACTTCGCTGAAAATCCAGTTAGAAAAATACATATATTTATAAATATATGAATACCCATAAAACTAAATTGGACATGAAAGTTTTCCCGGAAAGAGACATTCCTCCTGAACTATTTTGGGGTTTTTAACAATTTTTGGTTTATGACTCTTAATTTAAATTCTTTTCTAATCAAACCAGCATTTTTTTTAACGAATATTCTCAACTGGATGTAAAGTTGGTTTTTATTATAAGAATTTAATGAAGGAACCTCGAGCAGCTCTACCATCTTTATTCCTAAATAAAATTTTCAGGGTACATAAGTAACAGGCATGAGAGGAACTCTGCAGCAATGAAGATCACCTGTTAATAGAGCAGTAAGAAGTGAAGCTGAAGAATGACGGAGCAAGTTTGCTAAGCAGGGAATTAGCTTCCTTCTCTAGCCAGATGTTGGGTATGTCGACACAAACAGATGCAGACAGTTGGGATTTTTACTCTACCACACTTCACACAAGCCAGACAGCAGCCAGCTCTCCAAAGGCCATGTAACCATATGAACATGGCATTGAGCCTGAGCTAATATGTCTTGCTTTTCAGCACTAGCATATGGCTTCTGAATTGGACTTCTCCTGTTTGGTGGGCTCAAAAAATGGGCAAAGCAGATGCACATCTGCCATCATTCAGCCAGAAAAGCGTCTCCTCAGAAGAATCATTCCCATGTAGTTTCCAAGTGGGCTATGATGTGCCATGATGAAATATCATTTGATGAGTAGAAATTAAAAAAAATACATCTCAATACAAAATTCTGTTTTGCCAAGCAACACTGATTCTGACTAAAGTGCTTCATTATCTTTATGTTCTTAAATGCGTATTGTCAAAACAACAACCTGCATGTATTAGTTTTCTGGAATGACACTGATGGATGACAAAATACCTCATGAAAAAATTCTGAGCAGCTCTAAATTTAGCCCATGAGGTGAATTCCCATGGTAAAAAACTAGTATACTGCTGGTCTGTAACTTTTTGGTGAAATCTTTTTTGTTAAAAAATACATTAATGTCTTGGAAACAACATTTCTTTATTTAAAGAGAAATTTGTATGTGTTCTTAGAACTTGAATTGACTACAAGCTGTTCAGAGCAAGTATGAAAACACCAAAATAAATAAGATCAAATTTGTTTTTTTCAAAGTAAAGTTTAGGTGTAGAGATGCCATACATGGTGTGAAACAGGGGAAAAAAAGTATTGTTCTGAAACCTACAGTAACAAAGCACAGGAGATATGGAACTAGCATGAAAATTGAATTTGTCTCCCATGAAATGCTGTTTTCACTCAAATCTGCCTTGCAGCACAGTGACTAAGTCACAGACAGATTTCAGGAATTTCCTTTGCTACTCTGTTTTTCTCTGCTTTCTTGAATCTTAAGGAGTTTTATTTCCATTCTTCTGATCTTCCTGAACCCTTAAGAGGTAAATAGGCATTATTATCCCTATTTTATGCATATCAGACTTATACACAAAAAGCCATGAATAAGTCACCAAGATCACACAACACTTCAGAGAAAGCCTAGAACACCATCCAGGTGGCCTGATTGAGCATCCCCTTCTCACCACTTGACCAAATTTCTTCATATTGTAGGAACTGAAAAGATGGAAGCCAATTAGCCACCTGTTTCATTGTTTGGCATTTTCAAGACATCTGATGTGTGCTAAGTGAAGCAATGGGCTTCACACATATAGGACCTCCTGCTACTCAGAAGGTTGAAGTTTCACACATGACCAGGACCTTTCACTGTGTAAAACATAAATTGCACACATTCCACACTTCTGTTTCTATTAAACAAATGTTTTGACTGGGAGCACTGATTCCATTTTACCTCTGTTGTTTCTGATTTCCTATTGCTGTTTCCTTTCTTTCCACTCCTCTTCCTCTTCCAATACTGGTGCCAACACACTGGCCACACACATACACACGTCATGGTTGTTAGTAGCCAGCTGGCAGGTGGTGGATATTTTTCTTGCAGCATATGTATGTGTGGATGACTGCTCTTGCTGTGTGACTAACTTAGTTGCTGGCACTGATTTTGGCTGGGGTATACTCTCTGGCATTATTTTAGTTCCAGACATTTGATGGGTTGACTCTCCTGTTTTGTTCTCCCAGACAGTATTTTTCAGTATTCTCTTTTTTCCAGCCTGAGACAGTCATGGCTGTGTGGATGTCTTTTAATGCTGTTTGCAGAGCTCCAGGCCTTTCTGTCATTTTCTGCAGCTGTGAAGGGAACCGTGGTGTGTAGGTATCTATGTGTGTATTCATGCGATATTGCTCGTGGTCATGTGGCTCCCATTTTGAGTATGTGAATTTGCTTCTGATGTGGATGTGCATGCACAGCTCTATGCCCTCCTGATTTTGAGTGCATCTGAGCCTCTGTGCATATCCTTCCTTCAATGTTCCCATTTGTACAGTCTGTACACCTGTACACCTGAATTTCACAGTGTGAATGGATATCTGTCCTTAGTACATGCAGAAAAATAATTTCAAAAGTATTATTAAAGTAGCAAGTTGAACAGCAGATATGTGAAAATACTGTAATTCAGTTTGTCTGCTCATCCTGAATTCTAGCCTGTATAAAAATATCTGCTGAGATAATCAATAATCACATCTATAGTTTTCTAATTCAATGCTCGAAGCAGACCTGCTGTAGAAAGACAGCATAGCAAATATATACAAATTATCCAAAATTTGTTGCAAACAAAAAAAAAAGAAGGTGATTTCAAAATGAAGGTACTCTTAATCCTTGACCCAGCAACTTATCATTCCAGACTTCCCTTTGCAGTCTGTCAGGCACCTTGACTAATTCTTCATTCTGATTTCACACTCATTCTCCAGCCATTTCCAGTTGTCATTAGCTTTACATCTTTTTCCAAAGAGAAATGTCAGTGTCAACACCAGAACTGTAAATGCAAGTTCCTTCTGTATTTGGCATTCTTCAGTTACATGCCCACAATATCTATTCCTCTCTTTTCCCCCAAATATTTAAACAATTTCCAACACATATAACTTCTACCTTTATTGTTAATGTGCAAAACATGCTTACAATCTGCAATGTTTGATGGTGCAAACAATACATAACTGCCAAGAACATGAGTATAAAAGCAGACTTCTAACATTCATATTATAAACAGATGAAGATTCCTGTAGCACCTGAAAGACAGACAGACAGAATTTCTGGTTTTTAGAATCTCAGAGGAATAATTACTCAAAGAAGTATGTGAAAAGCTATATGATGGTATATTCAAACAATAATGAGTTGATATATTTCTGAAATATTTTGTTACAAAACTAAGTATTATTTTCCAAACCTTAAATTCTTTAATTCTTGCTGGCAACATATTTTCCTTGAATAATGAAAATAATATAATATATGTGCTGCTAGTAAATGGTGACATCAATCAACAAGGATTAGGGATGCACACTATGTACACTGTGAACCACCTGATGAGAAATGGACNAAAAAAAAAAAAAAAAAGAAATCCTCAGCTCTCCAATCACAGCCAGAACAGTCAGGAACACATCCTGAAGAAACTACTACAGTTTTGCCTTGCAAACATAATGAAAAGACAGGAAACCACAAAAAGTAAGAGCAGAGTAGTCCATGAATCTTACCTATGAAAACAAAATCAAAGGTCAAAGTAAGAAATACAAATACAGTCCCCAGCTCATCACAAACACTCAGCTGAGTGATGACCTTCAGTGCTGTCAAGGACTGCAAGCACATAGTTCAATTTGTTGAGAATAAATTAAAATAGTCCTGAAGAGTCTTAAAGTATTGGGTAAGTACTGTGATATTTCTTTAATGAATACCCTTCCATGGGCTAATTTGAGAGTTCAGTACCATTTGAAGGAGGAACATAACAAATCTACATTGGTTTTGAGTACGCCAGACGTAGAGCTTAGTGCTCTGAGCACTCACTTGTAGTCACCTGATAACAAGTCTTTTCCAGATTCTTCCACTCATCGGCCTCAGAGAAGAAATGTGGATGTATGCAATGCATTAAAGCACAAGACAATTTATAGGCAGACAGTAAAATTCAACTGGCAAGAAAGTTCCAGTGCTATGGTTCAATGAAGAAGGTGTTACTGGCTAAGCTGCACCAGTAACATTTAAAGAAACATTCAGGCTATTCTGCTAGGGTTTTTCTAAGGGGAAATCACTTATGCTTACTCTGGAACATTTTTTAGAAAATCTTAATGCTCATATACTACTATTAAAGTTTTTCTACTGCATAGGCATTTTTCCTTAGCTTGAAAGTATACTGGAAATATAATTGTTCAGAATGTAAGTTATAACGTTGTTTTCATTACTATTAACAATAGATTTTATTTTTACTTAAGATCTGTTATTGCAATTCATGATGAACTAATTATGTCCCAGCTGTTTAAAAAGACAGATTTCAGGAATCAGAAATATGACTGATCATCCCAATCATAAATGCTATCCATTTAAAATTCAAAGCTGATTGCACATTATGTAACTATTTGCAAGTAGCTTCTTGATTTCTGAATATTCTTTTCAATTGCACAACTCATAAAAACCCTAACAAAAGGCAAACACCAAACCACATGGGTTATGCCTTAATGAAGTCTAAATTTTAATACCTAAACAATATTTCTGGGATTTTCAAAATTATCTGTTGGCTTCAATAGTGATGCATAAGTGTATTAGAAAGATAAGGTAACTCATATTTCTGAAGTAATTAATGATCTTAATATTAAAATATTTTTTTTCATTTTCTCTATAAAGAAAAAGCCCTTGTCTTCAATTTGGTACAGCAGCACAAATTTGGATTATTTCCAAATTTAAATAGATTGTGCAGGGAAAGTTTAACATATATCTATCTATCTATCTATATATATTTATACATATATGTATATTTTTTTTCAGTTATTTTACTTCAACCAGTTGGCCAAATAGGAATTCAAAAGTAACAAAACCCATCACTGTTCTATTTTTTCCATGCCTGTTTAAAATTTCAATGGAACTTCTTAGAAAACCTATTTTAGATGGCTAGAGCTAGAATTTTAAGTCTACAGAACACTAAGCACATAAATTGTTCTCATTCAGATCCTCCCAGCATATCACCTGGTGTTTTATAAGATTACCCCCTAATGCCACATACTGAGTTTTCAGAATAAACTTGCAAATGAATAAAATATTTACAATAGTTTAAAAGTCAAAAAGAAAAAATTTATAAATAGAATTAATTACATCTTGAAATTAAAAACCTAGTTTTGCATTACTCTCAATTTGAGTAGCTCTATGAAAACGAGACACAAAATTAGGCAGCATGCCTTGTGATCTAAGCTAACTGAAATCATCCACAAACTTCATGCAAATTATGTTGAAATGCATCTTTTTTCAGAGCAAAGTGCAGGTAGAGAGCAGAAGAACATGTAGTATATATTACAGACTATATACATATGCTGAATATAGAAAAATAATTTAGAGAAATCTATACAACTTATTGCACAGGGTACAATATTCCATATAGAGTATTTTTAGAAGAATGGAAAAAAGTTGAAACAACACACTGAATAAAAAGATACTTTGTCCCAGGGGCAAGTACTGTAGTGATCAATTACATCTTGAATTGCAGAAACAAAATTAACTAGCTTGATGGAAAGCACCACATTGCAATAAAATATATTATATACAGATGAACAGGAATTGAGAATGCTATTTATTTGAAACAGCAGGTATAATATACTGTACCTCTATACCTCCTGATGGAATATTTCTAAATGGGCTACCCATATTTTGCAACATGACTGCACATTGATTTATGGAGCCAAAATAAATGATACGCTTCGCCAATAAAAATTCCTTACAAAGGCAGCTTTTTCCATTTCATTTTAAAGTGAATATGAAAAGAAAGACATACAGAAAGACATTTTTTAACAAATACTTCTATGCAAAATACATGCTACAGGTATGAAAGTAGGTTTGTATATGTGTACCAGAGTATTTTTTGTACTGAATCAGTTTTCGATACAGAAAATCATTTTGTACATCTGCAGACAGCACAAAAAGCACTTCCTATCTGAGTGGGGAAATAGTCAATGAGAACAATTCACTGTTTTGCTTTACAAGTGAATGAAATACCCTCAGTAATTCTGTGTCACTGTGTGCTAGCTCAGCAATTCAGTGCTGGTGTGTTAAGGGAGTGCACAGCTGTAAGACCTGTGGATGTGGAAGCTGCTGCCATGGGACAGGGGAGGCAGCTGCTGGATGTAACGCACATCCACCACGTTCTGCACGGCATGGCATGGGAAGATGGCAGTACCTGACACACTGATGGCTCTGACACTGTTCAGCTTCCATTTCCCAGCCAGTGAGTGGCGAGGTGGAATGGTCACTAGCACTAAACTAATTAAGCTTAGGCAGCTGTAATTTCCCATCCTTAGGGATATTCACAGCATCCAGTTTCAGTCATTGAACTTAGTTATCTGTGAATCCATTTCACATAATGCTGGACATGTAAAAGCCAGATGCCTCATCTTTCCAGTTAACTGTAGCTTTAATCTGTGAGGGTCACCAGCAGCCACATCCAGATTCCACAGAAATCAGTCTTACTAAAATAATTCCTTGACATGCACAGTGTAACAATAACAGTAAGAGGAATGAATGCTTACTCACATTAGTCCTTTGCTGTTAAGCACATGAAGTAAACGGCACCAATTTAATTGGCATAAGAGTAAATTATATTGCATGGAAAATTCTACGCTAGTTATAGGGAAGGAAAAGATAAAATGTGGATGTATGCAATGTTCATGCTGAAAATAGGCAGAAGCATTAGATTAATTCATCTTGGCATAAAACTTTACCCAGATCTAACTGAGGCTTCCATGAAGATTCTGATGGAAAAGTTGAAACAAAATATGGTGAAAAAGTTGGAGAGAATATATGGTGTAAAAGTTGGAAAGAAATTTGGAGAACTAGATCTCAATGGAACTTCAAATCTCTTCACTCAAATAATTCAGGTATTTTAATTGGACTCTGAAATCTTTTGAAGGAGAGTTGGAGGCTCAACACAAACGCCACTCTTAGCAGACAACCCTTCCAAGTTATTCACTCTCAACTAAGGTGACCAGTTTCAACAGGTCTGTAAAATTAGTACCATAACATTTCTTCCACTTCACTTCTGGCATCATAGAAAAAATACTTTTTCCACCTTTACAGATAAAGGAAATTATTATATTCATTCTAAGCAGCTTCTCTCTCTGTATTGCATCAATATCATGTTGTATCATTCCTTTCATCATTCAATCCCATGGCATTCTCTACCTCACTTCTTTCTACCTCCCCTTACCCCAGCTGCTATTCCTCTTTGCTCTGGAATAAAAGGCTTCTTTCTCCTCCTTCCCATCAAGCAGGGACACCTTCCTTTGAGAAACCTGCTGCATAATTGGTTTTTCTCCTTTCTTCCTATGGTGGTAGCTTTTAAAATCTTCCATCTGGCCTCATTGTCACTTGTGATTACATGCCTTCTCATGAAAGGTCAACTACCATTCTAGAACCTTAAAAGGGCCATATGCCCTGTCACTATAAGCATTTTCTATGCTCATTGTACTGTTGAACCACTTTTCACTGCAACAAAGCAGGGGTTATTTAACAATCATCTCAATATATTTTCAGTGATATTCATTATAAGTATTTTCTGCTGTAACAGTTCCTGCAACTTTGGGTAATGAAGCAGAACCACTGAACTTACCACTCCCTTCAGGATAGCTCTCTAGAATCCTTATTTCTTCTCTGGGACTAAGGAGAAAAGAATGAGTGGAGTTTCTTTGTCAGTGTTAAAAAACCCCATGATGAACTTGTGTTCTCTGAATCATGAGTGTGAGTGATATTAAATGCAGACTGTTAGCAGGAAGATGAATGTAGTAACAAAACATCTTTGGGGACAAGGGACACTGACAAACATTGGAATGCCTTGTGGTAAATACATCCCTTCTGAATGCATCATCATCAGAGGATTTATTCCAGATCTGGGTCATGTTGTCATAACCCTGAAGTGGCTTTCAAGAACTTATAAAACAGATGAGCAAATTAAGTGAAGGCAGTAAATAATAATAAAATACTTTCCTTTTCCAAAGCTCTTTGATCCTAAAGTTCACAAGGAACTCAATTATATCATATTTAG